CAAAAAAAAAGGAGGTTAGTTGAGGCACTCTGCAGGCTTCAGGTGGGTGAACATGGTAACACACATTAATATATTCCTGTTGTTATACACAGACAAATATATCATCTGCAGGAAGGATCCCAATGGCTTAATTCATTGGATCTCACATTTGGCTACTGGCAGGTCGAGCTGGATGAAGAAAGCTGACCTAAAACTGCTTCCGGCACTAAAGAAAGTCTCTGTCAATTTGTTATCATGCCATTTGGGCTCTGTAATGCACCAACCATTTTCGAGTATCTGGTGAAAATTGCATTATATAGTTTTCAGTGGGAGTGGTGTCTTATTTGTGTTAATGACAATTTTATTTAGCTGCATGCTTCAAACCACACTTGAAACCTAGGCATGGTATTTTAGTATCAACGAGAAGGAGGTCTAAAACATAAACGAAAGACATGTTTTCTCATGCAAGTACATGCCAAGTTTCTTGAACAAATAGCAAAGGGATAAGTGTCTATGGACTCCATTAAGTAACGAAGAAGACTGAAGCTTTTTTGGTCTCACTTCTTATTACACATGGTTAGTGGCTATCTTTTCAACCTAACAGAACTACTATCGGCATTTACAAAAGTTGAATCCCATTTGAGATTGACTGAAGACTGACAGTCATTAAAATGTTCCAGTGTTAGTTTATCCTTCTAGAGATATTCCATTCATCCTGGATACGGATGCCAGTGACAGCAGAATTGCAACAGTGCTATTGCAAGTACATGATGGTACAGAGTATGTTATAGCATATGCATGCCATAAGCTCATGCCCGCCAAACACTGTTATTGTGAAAAAAAAAGGAACATGCAGTAACAGTAGTGTCTATCAAAAACTTTCATCACTATTTGTGTGGCCATAAATTTACCATTTGAGGATCACAGAGCATTAAAATAGTTGATGAACTTTTGAGAACAGGATGATATGATTACATATTGTATCACAATGTTGTATGAGTACAATTTTACTGTACACTACCAATCAGGTTGACAGATGAGATTTCTCGTCAGCAGGTGAGAGCTTATCCATTTCTAAAATATCTGCATCCCAGATATAATGCTGTTGTGAGATCTAACAACTCAGTCATAACACCAAACCAACAAGTGGAACAGATTCTGCTGACAAATGGATATCAGATTTTATCAGGAAAAAGCTACAAGAAGAACAGCTAACAGCTCGAGGCTTTGTGTGGGCGATACTTGCCATGCAGCAAGAAAGGTGACCCTTACAGATTGGGGAACTTAGTACTGAAGCATCTAACCTCTGGTAATTTTTGAGCAACTAGAGCAGTGGTTCCCAAACATTTTCACTGATGACAACCTAACCAACTCACCTTGATTTGTGTGATAACCTTGCTGCCACATGCAATATTTTTTGTATAGTTTTTTTATATGGTTTTAATTATTCTTTGTTTGGTGAAACTCTCACAACACCCCTACCAACTTGCCACAGCACACAGTTGGGAAACTACTGAACTAGATAGAGGAATGAGAGGGAGCATTATACCATTTATACAATATAAACAAGTGTGGTGTTGTTTAAGCTGTGATGCAGCTTGTAGTCCCAAGAGCTTTAAGAACAAGAACTCCCTAAACTGTGCATAACACAGGTAATGGAGATATGAGAGGGTACCCAACACTACAGCCAGCATATATATATTGTTTTACTGGTCACATTCCTGCAAAGTGTAAGTATTGAGCTCAATGTATGACTCAAAAAAGAATCATTCATGTCAAGTAAAACTCCATTAATGAGTCGTAGGTTTTCCATTTCAGAGAATAGTCGTGTATGCCATTGAACTTTGAAACTAAATGTGGTGATTACTACATCCTTTTGATAATCAGTTACTTTATCAAGTTGGCTGAATAATATATACTGGTAGAAACTTTAGCTCAGACAATTTCCAATGTGCATTCAATGACCTAGAGCATTTAGGAAAGGAGAATCCTCAATGACTGGGTCATGAATCTCACTGAGTTGCATCACAGATTCAACTCTGTGGACAACTGAAAGATTACAGGGCTGAGCTTAAGGCTCAATTGTATGGTCTCCATTAGAATTTTGCCACTTATGCAGATGATTAAAAGAGATTGCATGAGAAGACATTTAGAGCTTTTCATCTGCTAGTGCAATGAATCTTAGCAAGTGAGATTAAACACTTTTAGTGCTGAGGGAAAAAGGAGCGACACAGAGCAGAATACTAATCCTTGCGCTTCATTTATAGTACCTGTGAAGAATAAGGATGGGTCCACAACGTTCTGCATAGACTACTGGAAGGTGAATAAAATCATAAAGAAGGGTGCCTACCCAAAAATTGATTGTATTTTGGATGATCTATGTGGATCCAAATGGTTTTCAACATTGGGTCTTAAGAGTGGTTACTGGCAAGCGCAAGTCGATAAAGCAAATAGAGAAAAGACAGCCTTTACTGCAGGAAATGGATTGTGTCAATTATTTGTTTCACCATTCAGATTACGTAAGGCAACTGCTACATTTCAATGACTAATGAAGTGTGTTCTATGAATTATTTTACAACGTTGTAATCATCTACTTGGGTAACATAATTGCACATAGGAAGATCTTTGATAATGGTTATTACGAGCTTTCTTCAACCTAAATACCAAAAAGTATGAATTGTTTGTGGAACAAGCAAGTTTCCTGTAATACATAGTCAGCAAAGAAAGTGTCTACTCTACAGATCCATTTAAAATTTAATATTTTCAGAATTGGCCAATATACCAAAAGTGTGAGGTAATGGGAGTTTTTGGACTATGCTCTATTATCATTTTGTAAAATCATTCTTTAAGCAGCTTGTCTTCCACATAAGTTGTTTGAAAAACCAAATACTTGTTGTTGGACTGCTGATTGTGAACAAGCATTGAACAAATTGAAGTAGGAATTAACCATGATTCCTGTATTAGCAAAAATAACCAGTTGCTTCAATGCTGTATGATCTGTCTGTATAAACTTTTTTCTGTATGGGTGATGATGAAAATGACTTAAGGCTCAAACAAAAATTAGTAGCTTTTTCTGCTTGGTACAATGCCTCATTCCTGCTATTGTAGGCAATCACATGGTCTTTTCCATGTTGTACTTGTGAATTTTTGCCATCCAGAAGGCTAGAAAGCAAGGAGTACAATTTTAACATTGTGCATTATCCCAAAGACCTTGTGTTAATGAAGACTGTAAACACTATGAACAGAGGGAATCACAACTGATAGATGCTCAGTCAAAAGATGCAAGATTGAAACCAATTATTGAGTGGATCAAAAATAGTGTAGAAAAACCCTTGTGGCAAACAGCCAACCAACATGGACTAAACACAAAGATGTACTGGGCAAAGTGGGATTCATTACACCTAGAAGATGGCTAGTTATGTCAGAAATGGGAAGATACCAATGGACAGAAACAGTTACTACTGTTGGTACTTCCACAGTCTATGCATTCCAAAACACTCTGTCACCTCCACAACTTTTACAGCTGGACACTCAAGTACTATGATGACACTGGTTGGGTGTTGGGGTCCTATAAAGAATTGATGTAAATTATAAGAACTATGCTGTGAGCAAAAAGAATGAGCATGGGCAGCTACAGCAGCTGTGTTGGAGCACCACTTGAAAGAGTTGTTGTCAATGTGCTTGAGATTTGCTACAGAATAACAGTGGGAATAAATAAATCATACCTGTGAAGGAATATTTCACCAAATGGCCAGAAGCATATGCTGTTCTTAAACAAGAAGCAGCAACTCTAGCAAGGAAACTCATCAATAAATTCGTTTCAAGATTTGGGGGTGCCTATGGAAATTCACTCAGATCAAGGATGAAACTTGAATCGGCCTTGTTTGCATAAATGTGTCAGATTCTTGGAATCAAATATATCAGGACAATAACCCTTCAGCCATCTTACGATGATATAGTGGATAGAAAGAACTTTACACTTTTCAATCAATAAGCAATTTATGTGGATGAACATCAAAAAATGTAAGCTCAAGATCTTCCACTGTTACTTACGAATTAATGAACAGCACTACATGCAGCTACAGGTAACACATCATCTTCAGTTTTGTTTGGAAGAGAACTTACAAAGTGCCATTGAACCTTCTTTACTTACATCCAGAAAACAGTCTTAAAGAGAGAAAAAGGAATACCACTGGAGTCATACATGACTTTACTCAGGAAAGACTACATTGAGTTAGTGATAAAATAAAAGTCAGTATGAGGTTAATGCAAATAACATTGGATTTTATTAAGGTGACATGGTGTAACTGTACAATACCCACCACAAGAAAGGATGAACTCTAAAATTATGCAAGTCTTGGAAAGGGCAATACATTGTACTCAAAAAAATCATTTGAAGAAGGTCAGACAGTCCAAGCCAAAGATCATTCACTATGACTGTCTTTGGAAGTAGTTAGTGTGAGAACAACCACCTGGGTAATTCCAAAGAAGAATTTGCTTGTGGACAGTCAACCTGAGGAAGGGCCCACATTTATGTTAAGTTCACTTTCAGAGGACCACCAGTAAGAAACCCACCAGTGTGTCCACTAGACCATCTATCCAGGCAAAAAAGGGCAATAGGCCATGCCATCTGTTCACCATAACCCTCTGAAAAGAAAACCCTAAATACTTGGTGAATGGACAGTTTAGTGTACCATTATATTTGCTCAAAGGACAGAGAAGACAGTGTTGAAAGCTGTTTTTAAGATTTAGATGTATGTTTGCTTGGGGGGGGGGGCTAATTTACAAAGTTCATGAAAGTTATGGCCTTATAGAATCTAATAATTACATGTATGACATAGCAATAAGTGAATAAAATAAATATGAGACCCAGTGAAGCAGTTAGTTAATGAGTAATTAACGAGTATTCAATGAATGAGTGAATTCAATGTCAGTTTGAAAGTGAGGGTTAATGCCCCTGTGACTGAAATTCTGCAAGAACGTTTTTATATTTGTGAGTTACACACACCATTAGTCTTGGAATTTCTGTACAAAAATTTATTTGTGTAGTTAAGCCTACAAGGAACAAAGCCTGTAACAAATGTTATTCTCTTGTTGAAGAAATAAATGAACTTATCATTACATGGACTGAATTTTGCATTACTTTTACCAACTAACCCAAAAGAACCTGTTCAGTAATAGAAAATATTGTAACAATATATTAATCTGTCCTAACTTTTTGAGAGTTTCATGCCCTAAGATATGGATACCATGCACATGGTCTCTTTGTGCAATTATATATTTGAAGATAATTATACAGATACACAATTTCTCAATAAATTATTTCTAATTAATAAGAGTCTGAGGGTATCTAATAAATCATTACATTACACCATACACTCAATTGGTTAAAAAAAATTGATCATAATAGCAGGAATTTGTTGTCACCCTTACAAGAAATTATAAATTGTTACATACATGTATATATAAATTTAACTGTCCATGTAGCAAAAGTAATATAAATTGCATGTTTGACAATATTCTAAGTAAAGTTGCTTTGTAACAACATTCTAAAAGGAGCTAAGCACTACTTTGATAAAGGTTTATGTATCCTTATTAAAATTATACTCAATCACCAACATGGAAACATTTTGCATGTAACTTCATTTACTATGAAGACTGAATTAATATAGCTAATAGAAAGTCTCTAGTTATAAAATCAAGTCTAAATAATAGACTATACAATGCCTAAAATCTGCATGTAAATGACTAACTTACACATTTTCATGATGTATCTTTGATTATACTTAAACCCATTTGTCTACCTACTTTCCACACAAAAAACACATAATAATGTATTAGATATTGATTTAAAATTGGTTTTAACGTACAACAGCTGTTTTATTTATGATCATAATAAATGTTTTGAGCCCTTACAAACAAAAACTAGGAGCACATGTTTATTTTCACACAATGGTAGAAAACTTTATCAATCAGCATAACATACTACACATGAATATCTTTGTTTACCTACTTTCATACATACACAAAAAATTAAGTTTTTATATTCGGCACATTAATTCAACATTTTCATACAATTTTAGGAATCTCAATCAATCAGCATATCATACTATACTTCAATATCTTTATTTACCTACTTTCACATACACAGAGCAACAAAATAATTTACCAGTTCTTTATTTAAACACATACATTTTTGTATTATTCTAAACTTTGTTTTAAACTTATTTTATTTAAACCTTGTGAATTTAGTTTTGTAACTAAAAATTTTTTTGCTAAAATGTTTCTAATTACACACAAAAAAGTAAGTTATTGTATTCAGCATGTTAACTCATTGAGTGCCAATTCGCCGTATAGGATACAGTCCCCCTCCAGCTGTTGAATGCGAGTGTGCCATATATGGTGTACGGCTGGTACATTTGATATTCAGAGCAGCCGCAGTCAATGGATTAAAATGTTTGTATATATTGAAAAAAAGTAATGCCTATAGGATTCTTTATTATTTTATAACCCTCATTTTTTTTTTGCTTACTAATCTGACACATTACTTACTTGTGGAAAAAAATATTAATTTTTATTCAATGTTTCTATCCATGGAACCTCAAAGTTTTTGGTGTTTTTTTTTCTTTGAAAAAATGAATCAGCAATTAGTCTACTCACTAAAAAACATCTTAAAAATATAACTATACCACATGATTCCAAAAACAAACTTTATAGTTGATTGAAAAACAAAGTATTTCTATACTGCAATATATGACTTTGGAATGTTTTAATCCAGATCCTTTGAAGGATGAACAAATATTTTAACTAATACAAAAAAAAATACAAAGACATTGGATTCATCATGCACTGTATCACAATGCTTTTAACTTTCTAGAATCGACTGTTTAACTCAACATATACTACAGTGTAAACATCATATTTTATATTGTTTAAAGCAAGTTTAAGTGATGGGTTATGATTAATTTTAAATATTTTAGTTTTATCTACCTGTTATAGTTTGAAGATGACAATTAAAACCACTTGAGCACATCTCTGTCTGTACAAGTACTCCAAAACTACAAATAATAATCCTATATTATCAAACATAAACCATATTTTCTATGCTACTGTTTTTTAAATCAATTCCAAGATATAGAAATTGTTACCCTAGTAGCATGTTTCTGCTACTAGGATCTTTTGGTGAAATCTTTATGACAGTTTTATTTTACTAGCATACATAATTTAAATTGCAAGAAGAATTTCCATTCACTGCAGATATCTTTATAAATTATTTCTTTTAAAAATTAATATGCTTTCATAAAATACTTCTCAAATTAAAATAATTTATCAGTTTTTGATTTAAAATTCAATAGTTTCAACACACAATTTATCTGCAGAAATAAAGTAGTTTATTCTATAATGTTTCCTGGTAACAGATGATTATCTCATAAAGTCCTTCCCTAATGTCTGGTAGTTACTGTACTCCAAGGTTTCAGAACACAACCCAAACAAATTAGGCTTCATCCATGATGACTGAACAATTCTATAGATATAATGATTTAAAAATTTAAACATATCAAAATAAGCAACACTAGCATAAAATTGATAAGTAATACATGTAAATTTGTCAAAAAATTAAAATTAGGCATCTCTATTATAAAATTATAGAGCTGCCATAAACTTTATATTGTTATACCTTCATTTTTTCCTTATATTTTCTTAAAAGACAACATCGATTCTCCATCACCTAAAGATAATGTTAAAGCTTTTATTTTGAGGTTCCTTTAAATGTGAAGGATTACATAAAGCTAGAAAATGGCACAGATGTGAGCTTATAGTGCCACTATGTCTTGTGCACAAGCTTTTAAACAAAATGAGACACAAGTGAAGCAATCTTACCTCAACTACTTAGTTACAAGTGATTATTTATAGTTAAATTCAAATCACAGTGTAAAGTTGCTAAAATTAATCTTAACCATTGACTGGTTATTCACTGTATAGAGTACGGTCCACATCCGAGAGACGAATGTGTGCTGTATACAGATTATGGCATGCAACAATTCTGCATGCATTTAAAGCAGCCACAGTGAAAGGGTTAAGTTTAGTTATTACAGTTAATTGCAGTTGTTAAGATTAAGATATAAGAAAATGGACTGTGATCACTTCTGATGAAACAAAATTATGTGTTCTGGCTTGTTAGACCTGTTAATTGTCATCAATTACGTTAGAATGTACAGTCAGAAAACTACAAAAAATCTATATTAACATTTACTATTATAGTTTTTATATAATGCACAAAAAAGAACTGAAAAATTGAACCATACAGAGATAAAGTTTTTTTTTTAAAGTATTAAATATCACTGTACTCTCCTAACCCTGGTTTTGGTGTGTATATTTAAATATTATATACAGGTTAGTTCAACAAAGCTACTATTTATCAATATTTCATTACATGATTTTTAAATTCTTACAGTTTCCAGCAGCATGGCAAGGAACATTTTTGCATGTTTCAAATTGTTTGTCAACTCCAATTGCATCTGCTTTGGATGTTTCTATGTTTACAACCATTAATTATACATTAATTACCCTTTGCTAAAACAGGTGCCATTTTTCCCTGAAACTTTTATTGTATGTTAAAAGGAAGATTCCCACTTAAATTAAATTATATTTTCAAAGGAACATGAAAAAATAAAATTTTAGGTGCTAGTATTTTCTTGTGTTAAATGGAAATAATTTTTATCTTCTAGGCACATAAAGATTTCATATGCAGAACTGATAACTTTTGACACTCAGTGTTTTTTTTACTAATTTTAGTTTTAAATGAAAAAATGTTTTATAAATCATCATTTGCTATGAGCTCATGAAGCACAATTTCAGCTTTCAAGATAAGCATTTTTGATTTCCAATCCAGAATATTCAAAATCTTAACGAAAAACTTCCATATTTCCAAAATTGACCTGCACAGAATCTGTTATAATTGGAGTATGGAGAATTTTTAAAAAATGCTGCTTCTCTGTTGGATGGTTGACTGTCCATGGAATGACTTGAATATTTCGAGAATTCCACATCCTTAAATATTCTCTACAAAGAAAAAAAACCAGAGTTCACTCAAGGGTTATTATTTTTCATTGGTTTTACCAATCATAAAAAGTATTTCCACCTCCTTTATATTTTACTTAGCTGCAACTTATGTATGAAGAAATCAGAATATTAAGACTTTAACTAATCCATTATAGAAATTATATTTTCTTCTAAATGTTAAAATTTGTATGAGAAAATGATTTACAAAATTTTATATATACATACACTCAGTAGCATATTTATTTTATCTTTAAACGTGAATTTGACTATTACTTACCCTCACAAAAATAACAAAAATATATGAAGCTGAAAACTGATATTTTCTTCATGAATACAATTTTCTGACTTACTGAGAAATGCAATCCTTGTGAATGAGAACTGCAGACACACCTGTAACATACCACAGCCAGCTATGGATAGACCAATCCAAAAAGTAGTCACCAACCTTCCCTAAATTCATTTTCCAAGGTATTCTGAACCGTGGCTGACCATTCACAATGTCATCATAGGAAATAAAATTTGGTCGCCAAGTTAAAGCACAAACAATTTTGGGATTGGCACTTCGTAACTGAATAGGATAAAAAAAAAATCTGTAAACTACTGAAATCATCATATGATAAGTGCAAGTAAATGAGAAAATATAACAAAGAAGATAATTTAAAAGAAAACAATACATGGGCAAGGTTAACATTTTTCTTAGCTGAAAATGTATTTCAGATAAATACTCACCTCTCCACAGAATGATGTTTATTTATAGTGACAGACATTCTTTAGAAGATAACCCATAGGCTACACCAGCTTTATACATACTTCAAACAAATTCTAAGAGTGAATTTCTGAGAAACTTTAATGCCACTCATATGATCACATTATTTAGAATCTTACATAAAGGTACAGAAACACTATTGACACATGGAGTAGTTTGTTTTCATAAATTCCATTTTTAGGTTTGAAGCCTTTGTTTTTTAGTAACCAACTTAAAAATAAGTTGCCCTACTTTTTCATACAATTCTTGACAGACAACAAAGTGCTTTCTCTATTAAGTAGGTTTTAACTACAGAACTTTAATCATCTGAGAGAATAATTTTCTAATTAAATTTGTGGGCTTATCATAAAACTGAGTAGAAAAATGCAAATCCTGTTCTGGTGTAAATAAAACATTTGGAAAAGATAACTGACATCTTTATCATATTCAACTGATGAGAATTTGGAGCAATTTTAACTGAGCTCAAAAACAAAAATAGTTATAGCATACAGCAAAGCCATGGCATTGCATTTTAACAAACACATCAAGCACAATGGCAAAGCTGATGCCTGAGGTTTAAGTTTGTTAGTTTGTTCTTCAAATTTAGAGCAAAGCTACTTGAAAGCTATCTTTGCTAGCCAATCCTAATTTAGAAGTGACAGATGAGAGGGAAGGCAACTAGTCAATACCACCCATCATCAACTCTTGAGCTACTCTTTTTCCAATGATTAGCTAGATTGACCGCCTCATTATAATGCCCCCACAGCTGAAAGGGTAAGCATGCTCAGTAACAAGGAATTGAACCATTGACCCACAGATTGCAAATTAAGCACCCTAACCACCAGGCCAACTTGTAAAAGATGCCTCTAATTTTACAATTTAATCAATACAAATACGTAATGCAAGTGTTTTGTTTTTATCTTCATGAGGACATTTGGCTTGTACCACACTTGTGTATAAAGTTTATCTTTAAGTGGAAGAATCTCTTCAGAATTAACCTCTGCTGAGGTGTTGCCATAACTATAATTAGAAAAACTTGAGGAGGTTGCGTGTTTCATATGAAGTATTTGCACAAGACCAAAATTAAGATAGAAGCAGAGCATAAATTACGTAAGGCAGTTTAATAGAGTTGAATCCAAAAGAAGAGTCACAAGTACACTGTTTCCAAAAATAGCTTTTCAGAGAGCTGCATTTATATAAATACTTCTGCTCTCATGTCAGAGCTTCTAAATGCCGAGACTTCCAGAAGTTATAATTCAGTTTCTTTTATTTTACTCAAGTTTTATTCCCTGTGAAAAAAGATCACTGTTGTATATCCAATGGACAGTAACAAAAGCACAAAAACTAAATTAATGTGTAAATTTCTTTTAGACTAATTTCTACATCTAGATCTTAAAATTTTTAATTATTAGATATATTTACAATAGAGAGAACAAATAATTACCAGTATCTAATATTTCTTCCAGCTTTTAAATTTTTTAATATCAAAACATAACAAATAAGAAACATAACTTATGCACCTCATAACTTTTCTTTTTTTAGTCTATATTAAATATTAGTAAACAGTTCCTCAGTAAAGTTATATAATAAACAGAAACACAAGAAAAGCACTCTTACTTGATATATGAAGTTAGGGTAGAATGATGCCACTACAGCAACTTTGTACAGCTCTGGGTACTTTTCAAATATATCCAAAACTGCTGCCAATGCCTTTAAAATAACATGCCAGTTAACAGTCAGACTAGTCAATTACTTTCAAATGGTATTATAAAACTAGAAGATTAAACAAGTAGTTGTAAATGCTACTATATAGTTACAATAAATTACCAAAAGAAATGCTTTGTTACAAGATAGATAGCAGAATTCAGAAAATGTGACAACCGTCCTACAATTCTTGAAATAGATAAAGGACAGTGTGTTACTGATAATATATCATAATTAGTTAGTAAGCGAGTTATGACATATCTAATTAGCAATAGTAAATTACTATTTTTTAAATTTCAGAGGCTGACAGACAGCCTAAGAATTCTACCATTTTCTATTCTAATAAACTGATGAAGAATACCTGAATTTTTCAAAATTGAATAGAACAGCTTAATTCATTGAACATATGCTTTGTAAGCACTGGTTAGAATCCTCTCAGTTTTACTTTTAGCCTATTCAAAAAATTATTATAACAATCAGAGTTCTTTGGAGAACATGCTGGCCAGAAGTAATGTCTCAGCTTTGCTCATCACAATTAATGTGTTGTTGGTGAAGTTCTAATGGAATTTAAAAATGTTACTCAGTCCACTGATGTAAACACAATCTGCTAGACTATCAGAAGTTATTATCATTAATTTAATAGATTTCTTATTATTACTGTCACTAAGTTAATGTATTATTATTATTACCAGAAGTTATAACTATTAGTCTATTATCATTGTTGATATTGTTCTGATGTAAAATTGAACCATGATCCAATCTAGGTTAGACAATGAATGGAAATGTTGTCACAGTAATATCGTGGTGGTAATTTTTGATGAAATATTTGCAGCCTTTTCTCAAACTCTCTTGTTTTTTCTTTCTGTGTTTACTCTGTGAGACTGATCATCAACAAATCAGTAAAGAGCAAGCAAAGATGTAGTCCATAGTTGTCAGTTGTCATGGTTGTATTGTATTCTCAAATTCACAGAGCTGCTTCAGAGTAATTAGGTAGAAACCACAAAATCAGGAGATCTGTTGGATACAATATAAGCTCAAAGATCTAACTTTCCCAGACTTTGATGGAGTCTGACATAAATAGAGAGGGTGAAAACAAAATTACATAAAAAAATAACTGTCTTTATTAATAAAACATAATGAAAGTTAAATATCAAGCAAATGCAAAAAGAAGAGATCTTTATTAGGTTTCTCTCAACAGTTATAGAAAGCACAAAATAAATGTTTAAAGCCAAAAATTAATCTCTCAAAAACAGAAAACCTACAATCTGTAAATGTGTTTGAAAACAGAGAAAACACTCAATCAAAATCTATATTAAACAAGGAACTGCAAAATGTGTCTAAGACAGAGAATCTCTAACAAATTCACTAACTCTCTAACAAAGAACTTTCGGAAATCTAGCTAAAAGTCTAAAAAACAAAGAAAACAGTAATATGATAACAGTCTCTCTCTCTCTCTCTCACTCTAAGTGCACATGTTACCTACATTAAAAAGGAGTGTAAAGCCTTCAAAATATCACCATATTTACCATGAGAAACTATCACTGTTACTAACTTTAGCATATTTCATGCTATAATAACCTTTCCTAACAGGATGTGACATCCTTGGTGACTCAATCAGTCCTTTGAATAATTAAAGCAAGAGAAACTAGGTGACTTTCTTGATCAATGTTCTACATTAAAACCAATACAAAATTAATCTAGCAACTGAAGTGTAGAAAAATGGTACACTTCATGTGCCACACTTGTTTCCCCAAGAGGCACCCACATGTACCTCCTTTGTTTCGACAAGAGACAACAACATGTAACAGCACTTGTTTTCCTGTGAAGCACTCACATGTACCACACTTGTTTTCCCCATAAGGCATCCACTTGTACCACACTTGTTTTTCCATGAGGCAACCAGATGATTGGCAAGACTTTTAGGTCTACTTATAGACATCAAAGCTGTTTTTATAATGTTAAAAATTATCAAGGCCACATGATGTCTATGGGTCTATGAAACAATATTTCAGGCTGGATTGACATGCAAACAAAGTGAGTGCTATAATTCTTATTCAGGCCTGAAAATCCAGTAATAGAAATACCATGAGCCAGTGTGCACATGATATTGAGTGTTTGCACTTCTATAGATTAATGTTCCACATGTAAATTTTATACAATTGGGTTCGGTAATCCAACAAAACATTAATAACAATCTATTTCTAGTATCTTAGCAAAATATTCCCCCTCCAAGCATAAATTGCCAGATATAAATAAAAAGTACAAAAATTACAGTTTTTATACTAAAATAATGGCTTAGCATCACAGTTCCATATATAATGGATGTACACTTGGGTTTTTACTTAGTTAATCTCAAATACAACTACAGTTTCATTCATTTCTGTTTTAACAATAGAAGATATTAACAATATTCCTGATCCTGAGCATTCTATGAATCATGTAGATGTTAATACCTCTGTATTAAGTAGAAAAACTGAAAGATTAGAAGCCAACATGGACTCAATGAAGGGCAGTCTTGCTTTACTAATCTGTTATCTTTTTTTTTCTGGATGAAGTAAAGAGTGAGGATTTGGTGTACTTAGAATTTCAAGAAGCTTTTTATAAAGTACCAAATAAAATATTAGCTAAGAAAATTACATCTGTAGAGGTCGAGAAATGACTATTTAACTGGACTGTAGGATGGTGAGATGAGAGAAAGCAAAAGGTTATTGTTAATGGAGTCCAGACAAACTGGACCATTATTACTAGTAGAATACTTCAAGGGTCAATGGTTGAGCCTATGTGCTTTCTTATTTACACTCATAATACTGATATGGGCATAATTAGTATATTAGTAAAGTCTGCTGGTGACACTAAAATCTGATATTTTTTGTTGTATTGAGGAAGTTTTAATATTACAGACTGACTTAAATCAAATGGTGAGTTGGGAAATGACCAATCTTGACATAGTGATGGAATAGTCATGCAAACCATCGACACAGTGTTCTGTTGTTTTTAATAAAGCCAACAGAATTTTAGCATCTATTTAGAAACATCATGATTACAAGTTAAAAAAGGTAACTATCTCTCTCTCTACAAATTATTAGTTAGGGTTACTAGGATGATAGCAGGGATGGAAGAGATATCTTACAGAGATAGATTAAGATATTTTATTTTTAGAAAAAAAGGGTAAGAGGTGATCTTATCAAAGTTTACAAGGTTATCCAAGAGATTGTTAGAATAAAGGTCTGTGATTTCTTTGTGCCTTAATAGGATAATAGGACATCAGTTTAAGATTTGAAAAAGAGAGGCTAGGCTGCAGGTGAAGACAATTGTACTTATCAACAGAACAATTGACTTATGGTATGGGTTGTCATCAGCAATAGTGGAAGCCAGCATTTTCTAAGAGATTAAAAGAGGAGAATTGATGATTTCCTGAAAAGGGCAAGTTTAGATTATTACCTTAATCAACAGTGAGTGTAAAAAGACATTCTTAAAGGTGGTTCTTATTGTCCATGGACTGATTATAATTCTCAACCTAAACAAACTTTTCATATTCAGAGAAGATCAAATATACATTCTATAACTTGTACAAATATATCCTGGAATTGTTAAAATCTGTGTGTGTCTTTATATATATGACAAACTTTTTTTTAAATAGCCCAAATGCTACAATTCACTAGAATAAAACCTCCATATGGGAAGTACATGTACACTTACCTTTTCATCATATTCTTTTACATCAAAAATCATCCTCAAGTTAAGCTTTATACATTCTTGTACACCTTCTTCTAGAGTAGGGATTTTCTCACCTTCATAGAGTGAACTAAAGCCAACATAAAAAAAAAAGTTTATTGTTATCAGTCATTTTAACTACATTTTATTGATAAAAACTTTATCACACTATATATGTGCAAGAACAAGCTTTTAATGCAGAGATTACATATTTTATCCTTTTTGTTATAATATTATCAAGTATAAAGACATGCACTGAAGTCTTAGTTTCCTATATTAAAAGCAATATTAGAAAATCCTGGGAGTGCTATAGCAAAGAAATGGACAACTCGTGTGTCAATTATACCCACACAAATGTTATAACCTAACGTTTAGTTAATAAAACTTGATTCTTTCTGATTAAGTATGAAAGTGTTACAGTAGAATTAACTGTTAATTTCACCCTTACATAAATAGTTTTCCATATGTTTCTACTCTGTAGTAATGTGTATTGTGTAGAAAACAGTATTGAGAAACATAAAAAAAGATGTTGATAGAATTTTAAATAGCTTTTAAAATTTAAAGTTCAATCTTTCAAGAATGAGTGGTTAGCTATCAATGAGTTAAAAATTATTGATAACATAATTGTGAAAATGAATGACAAGTGTAAAGGCTTTGTTTTAATGAATACATCCACTTATGTTGGAAAAGTTAAGGTATAACTTGATGATATGTCTACTTATGAACCACTAAGCAAAGACCCTACAAAAGAACTACGAAAAAATGCTAAAGACATTTTGGAGAACTTTAAAAGTAAAACTAATATATTTATGTGACTCTTAGACAATCTTAGATCATCTCATTCAAAGTCCCTGAACTGTATGAATTACCCAAAGATCATAAATCTGACACCTCTAAAACCCATAGTCTCCATATACAGCTCTCCATTAGCATCTGTATCTTGGCTACTCAAAAATCTACATCACCCTCGTCTCAATAGAATCCCTACACACATAAATAGCACCAATGACTTTCTTTACAGATTACATGAAGATGGTTTACAGATGTGTTCAAACACTATCCTATTTAGTCTTGATGTCGTCTCTATGTACCCTTCAATTTCCATAGAATAAAGTATAAGTTTGGTTATGAATCTTATTACATTGACTACCCCTTCTGCAACCTATAGAACTCTTCAAACATTCTCTCAGATGTGCTCTCAACAAGAGCTACTTTAAATTCAATTCAGCCCTCTATAAACAAACCAAAGGTATCACTATGGCCAACAATATTGCTGTTGTTTTTGCTTCTATTTTTATGCATTTCTTTGAATCATCAGCTCTTACTCAGTGGAATTTTGAAAAAAACAATCTTGAACCAGTTAAGTGGTACAGATATATTGATGACATTTTCAGTATCTGGAATCATCGACTCCCTTCTCTTACAGAGTTCTTTGAATTCCTTAATAATCAACACCCCAACTTAAAGCTCATATTTACACATACTGAAAATGTCTGAAAGTCTATACCTTTTCTTAATGCCATAGTTACTAGTAAAAATAGCAAACTTATTACAACTGTATATACTATAACATGTGTTAAACTCATTATTCTAAACTATAACTCGCTTCATTCACCAGATACAAAATGGGTTGTCATTATTGGTCAATTTTAAAAAAAACAACAAGAAATCTGCAACACCATGGACAGTAAGACACAAGCCAGGGTCACAAACTTTAGTGTAACTCAATGTTTAAATTTATGGTTCAAACTACTTCCTAAACTTTTTAGACAGTTCCAGAAATTAAGGCCATGCTCATCACATTAAACTTGCTATCATCAGAACATCTTAAATAAGACTTATATTTTTAAAAATGCACTAACTAATCACATCCAAAAATGAAATAATACAGGTTGATAGAAGTATTTGCAAATGTAATGTATTTCTTAGTAGTTGTACCTCTGGGGGTGATGTTTGGAAGCATCAAGTTCTCTCACTTCATGAAATGTCATATCCCCAATACTTCCAGAGCCATTGGTGGTTCTGTCAACAGTATCATCATGTAAAAGTACTGCAATACCATCTTTAGTTAAAGAAATATCAAATTCCACACCAGTTGCTCCATTGTCTTTTGCCTGAAACAAACAGAAAGAAAAACAATAAAATGTACTTAAGCCATTTGATGGAGATGAGGATATGAACATAAAAATCCAAATAAATCACAGTTTCCATTTTTAGTTTCTTTTTGGATCTAAACAGTAACAAATGTAATTTATTTTCAATGCAAAATCTGTGGAACTAAACATAAGAAAAGAGAAGTGTATGATATTTATAATATTCCAACAAAACACCTGAAGTTGAATGCTTTTAACAGAAAGAAGTACATAAACTCCTGCAAGTGAAAATTATTGCTGTCTCTTAAAGTCTGGAAAAAAACAAAAAAATAATGTTCATACTTTTCTGTGGACTGCTGGAGGCTATTGTCTATGATGTTGACTTTCATTTTTTTTTTCAGTTTTAATTAGTTAGTAATATACCAAATACTTAAATTATTATCTTGAAATTGTTTGCTGAACCACATGAATTCAATATAAGAAGACTTTGGACTGTCTCCTTCTATGATGACCTTATTCACTATTGTGGTACTCTTGATGTTTACAGGACCTACTGCCATCTTCACTGTATGGCCACCATGATAATTCAAAGTTCTACCAAAGATAATGCAATGTGACATACTCATATCCATGGCTTTTTGTAGCTTTCTTGTTGTTTGTAATAAAATATTCCAAAAAAGAATAAGCCATTTCAAAGATGGAAGATCATTTTTGTAAATAAATTTATACCCAAACAGTACTAGTATAAATGACACATAGTTTGGATAATGGTTAACAGCTTCTTATATGTAGTGTAATACCTTCTTTCCAGTTAGTCTACAGATTTACTGAAGTTAGTAATTATTTTTTATTTTCCATTCTGTAATTGTTATAAACATGCTTTTATAACAGAATCATTGGCATATTTCTTAGTGTAGGATCAGTGGAGCTTTAGGAACTGACAACTCAAAACTAGGCAGTGAATACCTGTTCTCAATCTTTTTTTTACACCAGACATTCTGTGATTTATTCAACATCTTGTGAAGATGGACAACATTAAGATACACTTAAAAAAAGGTGTGTGTGTGTATATCTCTTGTTTATGTTTAAAATGCACAACTAGAACAAAATTGAAAATTTGTTCATAAATGTTCTCAGGACAGGTGAAAATTACCCTTCTTCTTTCCCCCATGCCCCTCACTGTATTAAGCTGCTGGCCTTGGTCCTATAATTTAGGGCTGGCTTTTAAGTGTCATAAATGTTAGATATTTGGCAACTCCTGCTTATCACCCTAATGTTACAGAGAAAACAAATTACATGGCAAAGCTGACATTCAGCTTTTCCCTCGGATAGAGATTAATCGCTACAGACGACTTGTATCAGTGAACTCTTTGGTTCACACCTGTGAAAGTACTGTATCTTATCTAGCTGATGAACAATAACCACAGAAATAATGAATAACATCTACAATGAATGTTTCAAAATATACACATCTTAAACAAATTCTTAGAGTAAACAAAAACTAACTACAAATAATAACCTGAATGTTACATAAAAGCTTATGTGCTATGATAAACACTTGTAAGGACAATGTTAAGACTCAAAGAAGGAAGCAGATTGTAAAAACTCATGAATGAACTTGGAGAGACCCACAGTATATTTATTATTTTCACAGTTGTATTAAACATATCTGAACTAAAGTTCTGCTAATTCGTGTTTACCAATTGATTATTACCAACATCACAACTGGACCAATCATTGAGCAAAGTGTACATAGATGGTTTAATTCATTATTTATGCAAATCAGATGGCTTTCAAGGGTTAAATAACTAGCTGAAGACAACTAAATTAATCAGAATGTTAAGAAGTCTGCCCCTACCAGTGGTAATCCTGGATCTCTCAGCTCATACTAATTTTTTGAGACCAATGCTCTACCAAATTTTATGTACTAAGCAATCAACTCCCCATTCTGAACATAACCTGTTTCTAACAAGTCATTCCAAATCAACTGGAAAGAACAGAACAAAACAGTATCTAAGTAATTTTTTATTTCCAATAGTAGGTTGCCCATTGTTACTGATTCTGGTCTTCACAGGTTGGCAGCAAAATTAATATTATTGTTATGCTGTTCAATATTCCTTTTGTTAACTTGAGAAGTTCAGACTTGGGTCTCATAAATTTCCCACATTCATTTGTGATTACAATTCATTGGATTTTCTATGAACAAGAAAGGTGGAAGCAATTCTGTAAACCCAGTGGCTTAAGAGATAGTTGGAATCCTTGTAATAACATAGTTTTGGAAGATACTGCTGTAGAAGTTAAATCTGTCCTTAGCTGGAATCCCTATAAACTAACAGACAAGAGAACAGTTGGTTCCTATAACTTGTTCATTCTCTGTGTTAGGGTCTTTATCTAGCATCCAATATCTGTTCAATGTGTGAAGATGTGTTCAACTATATCTTTCTGTAGTGTCTTAACTCCAATGTCTGTTCAACATGTGAAATTATATTTTACTATACTGTCTTAACTCTATAATCCACACCTTAGGACATTGTGACAATACTGAAAGCTGTCATTTCACGAACAGCTACATGTCTACATTTAATATCAATGGTTTCATCAAAATTCATGTCTTTTTCACATTTGCTGTTCTACTCTACTAATGTTCTTTTAAATTTTGATAGTATTCTTCCAGCAATACTGTAAATTTCAGTTGTATTTTTGAATGTGTTATCTTGAAAATCTCACAGGTTTCTAAGTTTCGAGCAATGCTCTTTCAAAATCTTCACATTCTGCTATTGGCACAGTTGTTATTGTGTTCTCTTAGTTTCTTCCCATCTTTTCTTCCAATTATAGATGCTATAGTTCCAAATTCTCCAAAATGATTTAGTTTTTGTACAATTTGCTGACCTATAGTCTATGGTTTATCTTGCACTTCCAGCTTTTTTTTTTGGGGGGGGGGGAGATTGCCAGACAACTTACAAACTTACTGAGAAACAAAACTTGATGTGTTATTAATAAAATTTTACTTTAAAGTATGAAATCTATTTCAATCAATTCAATAACATCTAAACCTTTTTTTTACTGTATTTAGATAAAATCAATACACAGAGCTACACATGTAAACCTAACTCACTGACAATACTTCAGCACTAAGTACATTTAAACAAAATTTTGGCTAGGCTTATGGTTCTCTACGAGTCTTTTTCATTCTTCGTGGCTCGCCAACCCTTAATTAAATCATACTAATTTTTACTCACTACCTGTATTTACAGGCCTACTTTTAAGGCTTTTTACTAATCTAACTTTGTATTTTAAAAACTTGATATTTAACTAGAAATTCATGGAATACACAAAGTCTGAGGTATGTATAACAACATGTAACAATAAAAGCATGTTAATGACAGTATAAGGCCATGCTTATCAGTCAAACAAATAATCACAACAACAATCACAGAATATTTAAATTACAGCATTATCACATTCTACATATAATGTACAAAATTAAAGTACCGACAAAACTTCACCCCTGATTCAAAGCAACATCACAGCTTTGTAGTCACATTTTTAACTTTACTTATTCCTGCTAATTGTAAAGATATCTATCAGTAACATTTCTTTTAAGTTCAAAACTATCTCTTTTATCCTATTCCTATTAAAAGTACACTAAAAAAGTTGAATAGAGTATGTGCAAAGAAAACCATACCATCAATGATACCATAAATATTTTCACTTAGCAAATACTACTTTCAGTCTTATACATTGTTTCTACCAAAGTTCATTATTTTTATTTTAAAAAATTGTTTTCTTAAATTAGTTGTTTTAATGATTTTCGTTCAAGGCTGAATAAATTTATAAAATTAAATAGACTGTACAAATAAGAAAATAACACTGTCACCATTTCATTCAATAACAGTTTTGATAATATTTGCCTAACTAGACAAAACCTTAATCCAAGTTAAAAAAATCATAAATCTATAAAAACTTTATGAGAAGCAAAGTGGTTCTGATTTCTCGTACTGGAAATAAGGGACCTGTCCTTCTTCTTGAAGTTGTTCCTATTAGTAGTAGTATTAACCATAACAATGTCAAAAGTTAACCCTTTTATTGGAATAAGTACACAAATTATATGATAATGATAATTCATAAGGTATATTAAATAATTAGTAATTATTATTGTACGATAATTATTAAGAAAACGAGAGAGAGAGATTTTGCTAATATCTTACATATTTTTATTAATACAACTTATACAATATATTTACGTAAGCGTAGTTACTGAAAAATATTTAATATTTAAAATATTAAAAAATCTCGAAAGTTATAGCAACTTACTTTTCGAAAAGCTGCCAATGTATTTTCGGGGGCATCATGCCCACCGCCTCGATGAGCGTAAATACGTGGATGTTTATCTTCTTCCTCACCAAGTACTCCCAACACTTGTAAAGCAATCGATTTCTCCACAGGCGGAATTACAATATAATGTAAACCAATACCAGTAATTATTAGCACAAACGCACTAAAAAAAATAGACTCCATCATAAAATATTGGAATAAAATTAAACAAAAAACAAAAGCATAAACCTGTATGCAAGCAAACAAAACCCGATACGGAGGTAAAAAATGTGTTTCCATTCTGACACTGAAACTACTAGAATTAGTTTACGGGACCATCTAGTATATGATAAACATGAAATAAAAACATAATGATATAATTCAATATTTATAAATGTTTATAAAGAAAACTTTCCTATTTATATGACTTCGTTTTATAAAATCGCACTTTATCTTTTAGAAACAACAAAGCAAGCAATTAAAGATTGCTAAATCAGTCCAAAACACTGATCTATAGCTTAGTGGTCCAAAGATCTACATAAACATTTAAGAGCGTTATCCTTTGAATGAATGAATGACTGTTTTTTTGTCAAAAATATAGTGATGTAAATCCCTGAGTGAAAAACAAAAAGAGCAAACATAAAACTTTGTTACGTAGATTTTACAATAACAGTTAGAACACATAGCGTTAGAGATATAAAAAATTTCTGGACCTTTTGCTATATAATTCTACCGATCATATCATATATTCCTGCAAGAGTTATGTAAATAATCTTGCAATCACATGTTATAATCAAGACACGATAGACTTCCTTCTTAGAACCATGATAACGTGTATTTGTTGAAAGTTATATTTCTTATATTTTAATTTAACTGTTTGTTTGCTAGAGGGTGCGTGAGATTATGTAATGATGATTTAATAATCTATAAAATTTATGAAAGTTAAGAATCTTGAAATTTCGTGTTGTAAGTATAAGTAGAAAATGAATAATGATATTGTTACGTCTCCGTTCGTTAGTTAATTTTCCGTAAATTCGTTCCGACGAAACTTTAGCGACACAAGTCCTTTCTTAAATAAAACTGGTTTATTCTTTCCGAATACAACTTTACGATACACTTAATTTCAACAGTCGCTCTATAACATTGCACTGTTCTTCCGTCACGTTGTGACCGTCTTATATATATACAAGACTAACACATATCTAGTAAATGCTAGGGCGTTCTTGAAGGAACAGGATATTTCTAGAAACAGGTGGCGTGATACTAGTCACGTGACCTCGCTGACGCAGCACTGCCCCTCCTTAGTATTGTTCGTCCTGCCACTTACAATGAACCAATAACAATTAACAACAACTTAATTAAATGTACAGAATTACAAACACAAAATTACAATTCAACAAAGTCTCTTAATTTTATGGGACGTATCTTCTTCCGTACTGGTCTCAGTCTCGTTGGCTTCTGCTTCATATGGGGTTCATCTGCTTCATCAGGAAATGTTCTATCGTCGATAACAGTCACATCAGTGGTAGTAACTTCATCAAGAGCGTCACCGTTTCCCTTCTCAAAACTGAGTAGAGTTTCTTCTTCGACAGTGGCTTCTTCAGGTGGCACGTCTTCAGCAACGTCATTTGTTCTGTTGTCCACTTCGTCCCAACTGAAATGTCCTGGACCATGATAATGCCCAAGCCTGTTGGCATGCACCACTTTTGGCTTACCTCGCCGACCACATTTTACCCGGAAAGTCACGTCTGAGAGACGATCCACTATGTCATATGGGCCTTCCCATGGAAAAGACAACTTAGGAGACTTCCCTTTGGTCTTCCTGGGATTATACAACCATACCTTGTCTCCTTGTTCAAAGCTGACTTCAGTAGATCTCTTATCATAAGATAACATCATCATCAGCAGACGTTTTCAAGTTTGAACGCACTTGATGGTGAATATCGTTCATCCTTTTCGATATCACTTCCACAAACTCTGACATATTCACAGGCAACTCTTCATAAGGTGGGCGTCCCTTATGCTTGGATCCCCTTTTAGCACTACATGTACTGGATGTCCTGCACCATTCTTCCACATCTCGCCTCATACCTATCCAGTAAAATCTTTGTTGTATGTGACTCAATGTCTTCTTAATTCCGAGATGTCCTCCTCTTAAATTATCATGGGATTGACGCAGCACAACTTCCCGTAACTTTCTCGGTATAACCGTTTGCTAGCTCGTCACTTTCCCATCTCTGGAGAAGAATACCATCTTCAAGCTTTAACTGGTCCCCGACTGAAAAAGTTGATGATGATGGGGCTGAAGTCAAGCCAAGTTCCGGTAACTGTTAAAAGAGAGGTTGAACTAATTAGGTGTCATTTAAAATGACGTTTGGGAATAACAAAGGGGAAATTAACTACACACTTTCTCGGTAGTAGATAGTCCAATCCTAATATGCCTTCATCTTCCATGTCAGCCAAGTATACTTTCTGTCTGTACTTTATGCCCATGAGCTCAATAGTCACCCACACTGGTCCCCACAATCTTGT